GGCTGGGGCCAGGGGGCGGGGGCAGGGTCGGGCGGGGTCACCCCGGGGTTCTCCTCCCTGGACGGCCCTGGTAGTGCCCAGAGAGTGGGCCACAGGGAGGCCTGGGACACCGCAGCCCCACTCCAGATCTCCTGGATTGGAGCCGGCTTTATTTATTTAGTCAGTCATTATTTTGAGTCGGGGGTCTCACTCTGTCACCCAGGCTGGAGTGCAGTGGCCGCTCCCAGTCACCGCAGCCTCAGCCTGCTGGGTTCCGGCGATCCTTCCGCCTCAGCCTTCCAAGGAGCCGGAACTGCAGGTGTGTGCTACCACGCCCGGCTAATTTTTGATTATTGTGGAGATGAAGTCTCACCAAGTCTCCCAGGTGGGTCACGAACCCTGGGCTCAGGCAATCCACTCACCTCAGCCTCCCAAGGCGCGGGATTACAGGCTGAGCCACCGAGCCGGCCTGGTCTCAAACTCTTGTGCTCAAGCGATCCTCCTGCCTCGGCCTCCCAAAGTGTTGGGATTACAAGCCATGAGCCACCACGCCCAACCTGGAATCTGCTTTTTAACAGCACTCCCAGGTGATCCGCTGGCATATAAAGTTTGAAAAGCCCTGCTCTATTTGTTTTTGAGCGTACTTGGCACTCTATTAATAAAGCAGCAATCACGGTCAACAACACAAATCTGTCCTCAATGAAAAATGACACCCAGTGCACACTGCCGGCATTTCAGCTCACTGGGCCAGCAGCATCCAATGACCCGGCTGGACCCGGGGAGAAGGCTTTCCCAGGGTGCTTTTGGAGTGTAAGAAAGAGCCCTAGCTGGGCTCGGTGGCTCAGCCTGTAATCCCCCGCTTTGGGAGGCTCAAGTGAGTGGACTGCCTGAGCCCGTGGGTTCGAGACCCGCCTGGGCAAATTGGCGAGCCCTCATCTCTACAATAAATAAAAAAATTAGCCGGGCGTGGTAGCGCTCACCTGTAGTTCCAGCTACTTGGAAGGCTGAGGCGGAAGGATCGCCGGAGCCCAGCAGGTCGAGGCTGCGGTGGCCGGGAGCGGCCACTACACTCCAGTCTGGGTGACAGAGTGAGACTCTAACTCAAAAAAAAAGAAAAAAAAAAAAAAAAGAAAGAGCCCTGTGGACTTCCCAAAGCAAAAACTCTTTGTCCCACCCTGCATATCTACAAGAAGTATTGCTTTCCAGCATGAAAGCAGACAGAGATTTCTTTCCAGGAAGGAAATCTAGGCCTCTCTGCCAACCTGTTTCTTTAACACTCCCCTGTAAAGCAACCCTTGCAGGGAGCAATAATGCAGCCCTGTCCCAAGTCCTCTTGGAACCCGCAGTAATTCTGAGACCAAGTTCATTCTCTAAAGGCTCCTAACCCCAATCACAGTAGAGTCTGCAGAACTGGCAGGTCAGGAAGTAATACATAGACTTGGCTCAGGCCAGGTTCGGTGGCTCCCAGCACTTTGGGAGGCTGAGGCGGGAAGACTGCTTGAGCCCAGTCTGGGCAACATAACAAGATCTCATCTCTAAAAAAAAATTTTAAAAATTAGCTGGGCGTGGTGGTGCGCACCTGTAATCCCAGCTATTTGGGAGGTTGAGGTAGTAGGAGGATTGCCTAAGCCCAGGAGGTCGAGGCTGCGGTGAGCTGTGATTGTGCCACTGCACTCCAGCCTGGGTGAGAGTGAGACTCCAATTCAAAAACCAAAAAGACTTACCTCACCTAACAGCTGTTGAAATGGAAATAGGTAAGGCATGGCCAGAAAGAAGTCAGCTTTATTTTTATATGCATCTGGCCAGATCAATCTGATTCATTTACAGTCAAATTCTGAACAAATTTTGAGACACTAAAGAAGGTTCCAGGCCTGCGTTAGATTGGCACACAGGCATGATAGAACTTGGCTGGTTCCCTCCCTTGGGGGCAGAGGTGTGGTGTGTCTGTGATTTGGGGATGTCTTTTGCGTGTTTACCCTAATTACACATCACGCCTTGTGGAAAGGACACTTTCCTTGGGGTCGGACGGCGCTCGTGTGTCCTACCCTACTCATTATCACTGCACCCTTTTCTATCTCTGAATCTTACTCTCCTCATCCAGGAAATTGTGATAATACTAGTCATACTTATCCCATGGGGTCTCTGTGGTGGCCAAATAGGGTCACGTAGAGAAAGCACCTCCCACAGTGCCTGGTTCAAAGGGAGGACTCAACTAGGATTAGTTGCTACGTGTGTGTGTGCACGCATGCCTGTGTGTGCGCGTGTGTGGACACGCAAGTACACAGAACTAGCAGATTGGGTCCCGACACAAAGGAGACGCCTGGACCACAGATTCAAAAATTTCTTATGAAAATTACAACTCTTGGTTTAAATGTAAATATTTCATTAAAAAGGCTGGGAGCGATGGCTCATGCCTACAATCCCAGCACTTTGGGAGGCAGAGGCGAGAGGACTGTCAGAGTCCAGCAGTTCAAGATCAGCCTGGGCAACTTGGCAAGACCTTGTCTCTACGATAAGTCAAAAAAATTAGCCAGGCGTGGTGGTGTGTGCCTATGGTTCTAGTTACTTGGAAGGCTGAGGCGGAAGGATCACCCGAGCCCAGTGGGCTGAAGCTGCGGTGGCCGTGAGCATGCCACTGCATTCCAGCCTGGGTGACAGAGTGAGACTCCTACTAAAAAAAAAATTTTCATCAAAAAGGGTGGGTGCGGTAGCTCATGCCTGTAACCTTAGCACTTTGGGAGGCCAAGATGGGAGAATTGCTTGAGCCTAGGAATTCGAGACCCGTTGACACAGTGAGACCCTGACTTTAGAAAAAATAGAAATTAAAAAAAAATAACTAGAAAAAAATAATACTCCTGAGATGGAACTATGGCTAAACTCTGGTACACTGAAAAAAAACCCAGAAACTCTGTGTTGAATTTCTGGGCTTTTTCCTATGATTCTCTTATATTTTCATTTTCCTGCTTATTTTCATTATTTCTAGAGTGTAGATAATGGACATTCTGAAAAGAAAAAAATTCACTTTCAGGTGTTCACTCCTTTTTTTTTTTTTTTTTTCAGTTGGAGTCTCACTCTGTCACCCAAACTGGAGTTCAGTGGC